GGGTTGATGGGGTGCAGGGGAGAGGGGAAAATGGGTGATGGGCATCAAGGAGGGCACTTGTTGGGATGGGCATTGAGGAGGGCACTTGTTGGGATGAGCACTGGGTGTTGTATGTAAGCGATGAATCACAGGAATCTACCCCCAAAACCACGACCACCCTGTATACACTGTATGTTAGCCAATTTGGCAATAGATTATATTTAAAAATAAATAAAAATAATAAATAATAAAATAATAAAGTAAAATAAACAAAACCTAGTTCAGTGAAGGTCTGCTTCAGTCATGTTGGCTGAAGGTTTTGCAGTGTTCTGTCATCAACACCAGGAGTGACAGCAATACCAGTTCTGTTCCCAAGAGCATGCAATCACGTCCCCTCTCCAAAGCCAAGAAACACAACAATTTGCTCTCAGAAGTCCCACCAGGGAAGAAGACTTCCTCCCAGATCACTCGAGTAGGTACGGAGGGCGCAGACGGAGGCAGCTCATCCCTTGGACCACCCACACCTTGGACCACAACTTGAAAATTCATTAATTCACTGGGTTTCCCTTAGAAAGTTTATTTTAAAAAAAAAATCTTACTTGAAGTATTCTTCACTTCCACTGACAAACGTCTTATTGGCCTGGCTGGTGAAGTTAACCATTGTCAAGTTGGGATAGGCAGTCATGCAGAAAGTGGAGTTCTTGATCTGTATTTTGGGATGGTCGCTGATGACACAGGAATCTGTTTAGAAGAAGATGGGACAGAAACACAGTGAAATCTGTACAGAAATTACACACATCTCTCTCCTCTCTCTAGCAACTGAAGAATAAGAGCCAAAAGTATTTGCCAAATGCTAGAGACTAACCTGGAAAGTGTTACCTGAACAAAGGTGCATCTGTCAGGTGCAGATGAACCCCAGGATTATGTTTTAGTCATCCCAGAGCCCCCAGGACCCACAGCAGTGCCCTGTGCTAACAAAACTTGTCATTTACAGAGAACTCCCTACGTGGCAGGAGCCATGCTACACATTTTGCATGGTTATCTCATTAATGTTCACAACAGCCTAAGGGTAAGTGCTATTACCTCCATTTTTTCCCAATGTTTATTTTTATTTTCGAGACACACACAGACACACACTCACTCTCTCTCTCTCTCTCTCACACACACACACACACACACACACACACACACACAGCGTGAGTTGGGGAAGGCAGAGAGAGCAGGAGACACAGAATCTGAAGCAAGCTCCAGGCTCTGAGCTATCAGCACAGAGCCTGATGCCGGGCTCAAACTCACAAACCACAGGATCATGACCTGAGCCAAAGTCAGAGGCTTAACCGACTGAGCCACCCAGGCACCCCTATTACCTCCATTTTTAAAGTGAGGAAAAAGGCTCAGAGGAGTTAAGTAACTCTACTCAAATCACACAGCCAATAAGGAAGAGCATCGGGATTCAAACCCAGATCCTAGGACTCCATAAGAAACAAATGGCTTGCAGAAACGAATCTGTAACTGAAATTTGAAAATTCAAATCTGCAATCTGAAATTGAATCAGACATAAGCAAACCTTCTGAAGGACTACCAAAGGAGGCTTACTAATGAGTTCACCTTGAACCCGCCGCCTGGCACATTGGTGACAGACGGTAAGTGCCTTAAGATACATGCTGCATCTGCCTCCCACACACATACATGGGTTTGAGGAGGCAGAGACCATGCCATGTGCTTGTAAGCCTGCAACAAGACCTAACACGGTGCTTCTCAACTGGGGATGAATTTGTCCCCCGCGGGGCACTTGGCAATGTCTGGAGACGTTTTTAGTTGCCATATCTAGGGAATAGGATGCTATAGGCATCTAGCGGGTACAGGCTACTGATACTGCTAAATATCTTACAATGTACAGGCCAGCCACCCACAACAGAGAATTATCCAGTCAAATGTCCAGGGTTTTGAGGCTGAGAAGGCCTGACCTAGGGTGGGATGGGGAGGGGGGACTCACCACGTGGATCATAGTAGGTCAGGCACTCCGCTGGACACTTTAGCAAGGACTATCCCATGAAATCCTCATCAACCTTGGGAGGTGTATATTAGTATGCTCATTTCAAATAGGAAGAAGCTGAAGTCTTTCTGACTATATTACAATGCCTCTCTAACAGCCTTATAAACACCCATCACTTGGCAGTTTAAATAGAGTCCACCAGGATACTGTTTTATCCCTAAAGATACTATTTTACAAAGGAGTGAAAAGTAACGATAACAATGGCTAACACAGGGCACATACCATGTACCTTTGTAAGTGCTTTATATGCGCGGACTGATTCAAGCCTCACATCACCCCTATGAGGTAGGTATTGTCATTATCTATGCTGCAGATAAAGAAACAGGCACAGAGAAGAGCAGGTGCTTGCCAAGGTCATACAGCAAAACCAGGAGGCAAACAAGCATTCTTTCTTTGGGGGCCATGCTCTTAACCATTGTACTGTGAAGCAAAGAGCAGGGATCGTAGATTCAAACACCTTCATAATCCAGGCTGGTGACACAAATGATGAAGGCATAAAATAGAGGGTGATAAGGAGAGGTGGGGACTCTGGCAAACCAGAGGATACTCCAGACAAACGGGGCCATGCCTTTTCCTTGTGTACGGGCAAAAGATGCAGAAAATTTGGATATTTACATGAAATCTCTCCACTTTATTTTTCTTTAATTAAAAAAAAATTTTTTTTAATGTTTATTTCTGAGACAGAGAGAGACAGAGCATGAGTGGGGGAGGGGCAGAGAGAGAGGGAGACACAGAATCCGAAGCAGGCTCCAGGCTCTGAGCCGTCAGCACAGAGCCTGACACGGGGCTTGAACTCACAAACCATGAGATCATGACCTGAGCTGAAATCGGTCACTCAACCGACCAAGCCACCCAGGCGCCCCATCTCCACTTTATTTTTTTACGTTTATTTATTTATTTTGAGAGAGAGATAGAGAGTGGGCGGGGGGGGGGGTTGGTGCAGAGTGAGAGAGAGAATCCTAAGCAGGCTCGGCACTGACAGTGCCTGATGTAGGGCTTGAACTCACGAACTGTGAGATCACGACCTGAGTGGAAACCAAGTCAGACGCTCAGCTGACTGAACCACCCAGGTGCCCTGAAATCTCTCCATTTTAAAATGTTGGAAATAAGGTCAAATTATTTTTAGATATCGTGGACCAAACTACAACAAAAAAAAGAGGACAGGGCCACCTGAATCCGGTGCATGGACTCCTAATGCATGCTACCTGTGGAACAGTAAAGTGGATAAGACTATGGGTTCAGAGGCTCCTCTGCCCTGAGAGTTTAGAGGAGTTAGAGGAGTCCCTTTATCTGTCCAAGCCTCTGTTGTCTGATAAATGTTATATCTAGCTTACAAGATTGTTGCAATAACCAAAGTAAGTGATATCAGGAATGAAAAAAAAAATCTCACAATGCCTTGAGCGCTGCTGGACTCAATAAATTTTAGCCATAACTCAGTCATCATTGTCATACATTTTTATGGGGTGGGCATCTCTAGTCCTCAGTGACATCTCCCACAATCTCACTAGCCAGCCATAAATCACCTACCACTTCCCGCTCGTTCCTCCAGAATATCTCATTATATCATATAAAAACTTTTAAATAACAACTATAAGACTCTCTTCCCTCTGATTAGTTATTTTTCTTTAACGTTTATTTATTTGTGTGTGTGTGTGTGTGTGAGAGAGAGAGAGAGAGAGCATGAGCAGAGGAAGGGCAGAGAGAGAGGGAGACCCAGAGTCAGAAGCAGGGTCCAGGCTCTAAGCTGCCAGCACAGAGTCCGATGCAGGCCTCGAACTCACGGACTGTGAGATCATGACTTGAGCAGAAGTCAGACACTTAACTGACTGAGCCACCCAGACGCCCCTCTTCCCTCTGATTAGTTCTTTAAACCAGGGTTTTCAACAGCAGTACTACTGACTTTTTGGACCAGATAATTAATTCTCTGTTGCCGGGAGCTCTCCTGTGCATTGCAGGATAAACAGCATCGCTGACCTCTGCCCACTAGATGGCAGGAGCATCTCCGCCCCTCCATCAACACCCCACCACCCTCGTTGTGATAACCCAAAATATCTATAAACATTATCAAATGTCTCCTGAAAAATCTCCCGGAGTTGAGAACCGCTGATTTTAGAGTCCTCAAAATACCTTTTAATTCAATATTATCTTTAGTCTAATCAAATAACAAGAGTTCCGGAGGGATTCTGACCTAATTATCAAATATTTACAAAGGGAGCATTTGTTTCCCCCAGCAGCAATCTGAATGAAGACAACAAAGGACCATCCACAGCCCTTTTCTGTAAGTAAGCGCAGAAGTTATCTCCTGTCCTCCTGCCAAAAAGTACGTCCATCCCCTAAGACCGGAGAAACTGCTAAGACGCGGGCAAATGCCAAATCGCTTGCTTCCAGAACTGCCATTGTGAATCATGCGGGCAGCTTCCCTAGAGAGCTTCCCTGGACGACTCTGGATCCCTACTCTCAGCGGCAGTGCAAAGTCACGCTGTTCCTGCGTCACTGAAGAGGGCTCCTTGCGGCCTCCAGCCTCCTGCAATGTCCCTTCCCACCATTGGGCGGCAGAAGCATGCTTCCCAGCACGCAGCGCCTTCAGGTGGGCCAGTGGAGGAAGGATGGGCCGTGTCATCAGACCTCCGCGGCCCAGCAATCCTGAACAAAGAACAGCGATAACGATCGTGCTAAATTGGAAGCTGTTCGAATGGGATTCTCTTTACTCGGGCAATTATTAATAAATGAAAGCACACGAAAGACCAGGGAGAAAAGGGATCATTTAATTAAAGTTCTAATGAAAATTAAGCCATTCCAGGAATAGAAATGGTATTTTTGTTGTTCCCATTTTAAATGACCCAGTTGGCTCCTAATTTCACAGAACAGTCGCTGGTCTCAGTTGGCAGGGCATGGATTAGCTATTCTCCATTAGACATCTGAAAGGTTGAGTCCTCCTAAGGAAGACAGTCTTAAAACCCACACCTTAGAAACATGCTGCAAGCCCAGCCTCTTAACAATGGACAGAGCCAGGGCTGGGGGGCTGGGGTACAGGGCCCTGGCATCCCGGTGGTCAGTCAGGCTCCTGGAGCGATATGACCCTAGCAATGCTGAGCCGGCCATGGGATAAACACTTCCTCGCTATGACTGAAAGTCATAACTGTGAGCTATCCAATTCCTCCTCTGAGACCAGTGGCCCGCTATCACATGGTAGGGCAGCTATAGGACAGAGGCTGAGCCTGGAGGTTATTTGTGGAACACTGCGCTAGGGGAAGGGATTTTTCCATTTTCTAAACATTTCTCAGAATGGCCATTTGGGAAAGGGTCTGGGATATCCACCATCTGAACTCATGACTTGTGAGTTCAAGAGAACTCAAGAGCAGCAAGTTCAAGAGCAGCCTGACTGCTGCAAGTCAGTCCACCACCGCCCTTTCTAAGTCACCCCAGGACCCCAAAGGACTGATACTTCCACAAGGGAGAGCCTGGCCTCAGTAATGGAACACAGTCATGTGCAGACAGCACAGCGAACAGATGGAGGGACTGCACAGAGAAAGAGTGAAGATTGGAAACTTGCTTTAAAAAAGTGGGGGATTGGGGCGCCTGGGTTGTTCAGTCGGTTAAGCGTCTGACTTCAGCTCAGGTCATGATCTCACGATCCGTGAGTTCGAGCCCCGCGTTGGACTCTGTGCTGACACCTCAGAGCCTGGAGCTTGTTTCAGATTCTGTGTCTCCCTCTCTCTCTGACCCTCCTCCGTTCATGCTCTGTCTCTCTCTGTCTCAAAAATAAATAAACGTTAAAAAAATTTTAAAAAAAAGTGGGGGATTGGGGCGCCTGGGTGGCTCAGTCAGTTAAGTGTCCGACTTCAGATCAGGTCATGATTTAGTGGTCCATGAGTTCAAGCCCCACGTCAGGCTCTGCACTGACAACTCAGAGCCTGGAGCCTGCTTCAGATTCTGGGTCTCCCTCTGTCTCTGTTCCTCCACCACTTGTGCTCTGTTTCTATCTCTCAAAAATAAACATTAAAAAAAATTGTTTTCAATGGGAGTGGAATTTAAAGCACTTGCTAAGAATAAGATAAAAATCTGTCCAGCCTGTTCATATGCTCCCAGGGAATAATCAGAGTGAAAAATGTCCATTGTCTCTCTCTGCTCAGAGCTTGCATAGTTTTTATGGTTTGTACCAGTCAACTAGGAGCTTAGCTGTAAAATGCCATTACTCTGCCTTTAAATTGTTTTTTGTTTTGTTTTAACGTTTATTTATTTTTGGGACAGAGAGAGACAGAGCATGAACGGGGGAGGGGCAGAGAGAGAGGGAGACACAGAATCGGAAACAGGCTCCAGGCTCTGAGCCATCAGCCCAGAGCCCGACGCGGGGCTCGAACTCACGGACCGCGAGATCGTGACCTGGCTGAAGTCGGACGCTTAACCGACTGCGCCACCCAGGCACCCCTCTGCCTTTAATGTTATCATCCGCCAGACTGGAAACTTTACAAATCCAGGAACACCCTCTCCCACATTCCTGGTCTAGACAACATGCTCAGCTTGCTTCAAAAAAAAAAAAAAAAAAAATACACACAAACGAATATAAGTGTGTATATATACACAGAGACACACACTCTGGCTATAAAATAAATGTGTCCATGATAGAAAAGGTAGAAAAGAAAATATGGTCCCAAATCTGTCAGTAAACATTTTGTGTATTTGGGGGAGGATTTCCCCGTGTTTTATGAATATTCATGTTTAATGACTACAGAATACTTCATTCTATGGATGCACTACAGTTTATTTGAACTATGGGATTATTCAAGAATTATTTGCATTTTGGTCACACATTTAAGTGTTTCTGGTGTTTTCCAAGACTGTAAATGTGGCTACAATGAATAATCATGTATAAGTCTTATCTGGGTCTTTGATTTCCCCCCTTAAGATTGATCCCCAGAAGTGGATCTACTAAGTCAAACGACTGTTCGGACAAGCTTTCTTTTTAGCCCAGGGAATCTCAGTCCCTAACAGACAGTTAGGGAACACATGGACTGATGTCACTCTGCCAGGACTGATGGGGCAGAACCTGATGGACCAAGGAGCCTTCGGGAATCCTGGATGAGCAGGCAATCAGGAGTCATGACATCTAAATCTCGGTGCTGGTTCTACCTTTCGATTTACAGCCTGACCCTTCCACTCTCTTCAAGTTCACTTTCTCAACTGCAAAATGGTTATCATGTCACCTGCCCCTTGGAACTCTTAGGGCTCTTATTAGGAATAGCAGGGACATCTTTTATGAAGCTGCTTTGTAGACTGGGGAGCATTTGGCATGATGCTTTAGAACCGTGGCCTTGGGAGGCAGGCAAACTTAGGTTCAAATCCCAGGTCTACCATAGAGTTAGCTCTATGACCTTGAGCTCGAGCTTTTTCATCTGTAAAGTGGGAATAATAATAGAAGCCATGTGTTGACTTGTTGTGTGTTGGTAATACAAGTAAAAGGGTTCTCATAGTGCTTGGCATGTCGAAAGTGGTGCTAGCTGTTATTTAAGTGTGAAGGTGCCACACAAATATTAGTGGATATGTTTGTTGAAGAGAATGTTGTTTCTGAACTACTGCCCCTCCCGGAGGACAGCTGTGGGACACTGATCACCATGACATCTATGGTTCCTGATGGAAGTCCCCAGGCAAACTTCCCATGGAGCCTGATTCAAGCCAGCAGTCCTCCTCCAGCAGGTTCTCCCTTGAAAAGTGACCTCCCTCCCGGGCACAATCTGGGAAGGACAGGCAAGTCTGGGGAATGACCTTGAGGTATTTCTGCATTCTAGACTCTACATCCTAGAAAATGTTCCAGGAGGGCACTCCAGCAGCTAATTGTTAGTTGTGAATCCATGAACAGCTTTTGAGTGGAATTCTCCCAGAGAACAGCTTTGTAGAGGTGACCACTGGGATGGCAGAAATGCAGGCAAGGAGAGGGGGCATTCCATTCCAAAAATGGTTAAGGGCATCTAAATTAATAAGAGGTATGATCAAACTCCAACCTAGTGGTTCTTTGGTTCCTGGGGCACTTTAAAACTATGGATCCTTGACTCTATCCCTAAATTGTCTGATTTAATTAGTCTTATGTGGACCCTAAGGGATGTCTTGATTTGTCAGTTTCCCAGGTGATTTGATGTATAGCAGCTTGGGCTGACAACTGCTGCCCTAACCCAAGAATCCACCAACACTGAGACTGTGAGAACACTGAGGCAAAGAGAGTCTAACGGACACTTCTCGTCGAGCCACCCACCTGGGAACCTCCACACACCCCATCCCCCATTCCTGAATACTTCCAGGTGCACAGGGTTTGACTTTCATGGGCACATGTCTTTAGTTGTAGCTCTTCTTCAGTCTTAGTCAAAGCCACTCTAGGTAGAGGTTGGTCATGGCATGTATGTATATGCACAATGTGTGTAAAAATACTCCAGTGTGAATTACTGCCTTTAGGTATGTGCATGTCTCCAAGGATATGGCAGGGAAGAATTCATCTTTCTCTCATAGCACACTCAAAGGGTTAAATAATGCCCTCATTCTGCAATGTGCTGGCTGTAAGGGCAAAGGAGCTGATTTGGGGGCCTACACTAAGAGCCAATCATGTAGAGATTACAGATTCTGACCTCAGCACAGATTGAGCTTAAGGGGAATAACAGATCTGCTGGAAAAAGAAGAAACTACTTGCTTATTGGTGCCCACTGAAATGACAGAGAGGTTTCAAAGGTGACAAAGGTGACCGAGGCACCTTCTATTTGTAGAAGGCTATACTTTTCCAGCTGCTCCCATATCCTTTGTTTCTGGCTTCCTTACAGCAATCCCGTGAGGTAGGTAGGATAAAGAACACTATTATTCCTACTTTACAAGTGACAAAAATGCAGATCCAGAGAGAAAGGTTACCTGCCCAAGACCCATGTACCGTCAAGGGCAAAGATGTCATTTAGGCCAGACAGCCTTGCTGACAAGTCTGCCCTGCTCCTCCTCACTTCCACCCACCTGCCTTTGACCCAGCAAGCTGACAGCTCCCCACAAGCCCTCATGTCCTAGGGGATTTCAGGTTTGAACCGTCAGGAACTCTCCCTGACTCCCCAGGCAGACTTCCCTATTTCTAGGTACTACATTATGCACGTTTCTAATCTCTATCAGAGGTCTGCCAGTCAAGTATCTGTTCTCCTAGTTACCTCATGCACTGAGCAGCATTTTGTGAAGTGTGATCCAGGATCACAGGCATCACTCTCCTACACTCTAGGACCCCATTGCTTTCAAATTGTACAGTACATATGAGTCACCTGAAGACCTTGCTAAAATGCGAATTTCCCAACCCCATCCAAATCTAATATATCAGACTACCCAGTGGGCCTCTAAGTCTGCATTTTTAACAAACACTCCAGTTAGTCATGGGCAAACAAAAATGCCATCACCCCTCCTCTGAGCCATGAGCTCCTTAAATGTTAGAATTAAGTATATTTGGTTGTCTTCATCTCTGCCCACCACTTAACATAGGGATATCCAAACTTACCTAATAAAAGTTTGGTTTTATCTTTGCATTCTGGTGTGTTCCAAGGGTTGTTGCAGGAGCCCCAGGGCAGCACAGACACAAAGGAGGCAAACAGGTAGAAAAGTGTGTAGCAAATAATCACATTGTAGTATATGGCTATTAAGACGGAGATGATCAGCATTGCGATGCCACAGCCTGTGGAAGCAAGATTTCCAGGGACTCATTCCAGTCCAAGTCCTAGGGAATTCTTACAGTTGGGCACAGGGAGGGGACCTAGGTCTTGGCTCTCTTTCACAGATGGATACACAAATAGTGGAGTGGATTCTGTGTCCATCAGGGAGACTGAGGCATTCTGCGAGGAACGGACCAATGCCAGAGGCAATCTTGGGCCATTCTTCAGAGGGTCCCAGAGGTAGAATGGATCAAATAAAGGAAAATGTGAGTTATCCTGTTCACAAAAGCAGGTCTCCCTCCTGGGGGCTGCATGGTGCCAGAGAGAGCAGAAGAGGGCTGAGGAGGCTGGGAGGCAGGGCGGACTCACCTTGTAGGGCCGGGATGGCCTTCCACACAGACACTGGCCCCTGGCTGGCAAACTGGCCCAGTGACACTTCTAGGAAGAAGATGGGTAACCCAGCCAGAGCCAGCATCATCAGGTAGGGGATGAGGAAAGCACCTTGGAAAGACAGAGTGAGAAGTGAGAAGCCCTCGGAGGCCAAGGCCACCTTGGCCCACATTCACCCTCTGAGGTGGGAGCTCGCTCCCCCTCATTTTCCAAGAAACTTTTGACATTCCAGCTCAACCACAGTGACCCCGGGACATTTAACAGCCTTCCTGTACCAAGTTCAGTCCAGAGTACCCAACAAACACACTACTTTTCCCAATTCCCTCCTGGATGGGTTGCTAGGGGTTGTGTCATGGTGGGGTTTTATTCTTTTCTCTTCTTTTCCTTTTCTTATTACAGCATTTCAACGTCCTCCAAATTAAGCTCTTCCAGCATTCAATAAATCCACACCTGTGACTCACTACTAGAGTCATATTTGGTGAAATCGTCTCAGCACCTCCACCCTCCAAGGACCTGAGGAGCAGACCCAGGAGCCCTCCCAGGCCACCCCTGAGCTCCTGCACACCTCCTGCCACTCAGTGCTGGGTCTGCTCTGCCAGACAAGTGGCTAGAAAATCCCTCTCTCCACCACCCCAGCCACCACACACTTCTCAACTTTCTTCTCCACATGAAAATCCCTTCCATCCTTCAGTGGCTCAAATGCTTCCCTCCTTCAATAGGCCCCTTCGTCCTCCACACTTCCCTAGGCACTGAGCACCTCCCAATATTTACATAGTGTCTTACCTAGACTGGAGCCCCCAGAGGTTGTCAAAGGCCCTTCATCTCTCTTTTATTCCCTGGAATGCCCGCTCCTGCCCTGCAAACACAGGACAATAGTAGGTAGGGATGCCTCAACTGATGGGGGGGGGGGGTTCTCTGGGGCTCATTTCCTTCAAGAATTAAGATCGTTTGGGAGGGCCTTAGGGAACAGCCATGATCTTTGAAATGACTTGGACCAGTAAGCACTGTTGCATGGGCCGACACCAGGCACTAGGGATGCCAGAACCCAGAACGCTGTGCTCCAGGAAAGGAAAGCTGATTTTTCTCTGGTCTACTCTTTTTGGTCACCTTCCAATCCTCCCATGGGCTGAGCGTTTTCCTGCCTGCCCCCTGTGAGGAGAAACACCAGCAGGGGCCTCAAGCCTTGGGACAACGGGTGGGGGGGGTTCCTCCCTCTAGCCTCCCCCAGATGGGGGGGTTTTGGAGAAGGGTGGATTATGCAATCCTTCCCCCGCTTCGCTCCCGCTCCCGAGAAGGAGGAGGCCAGCTCTCCACCCAGTGCTGTGGGCTGCGGAGCTGGGAGCCGCAGTGTAGAAAAGTCTGCCTCCCCCTCCCCGTGCATGGCTACGTGAGGAGCTCCTGGAACCAGGAGCAGGAACCTGGCCACTGGGCCAGACGCAGACCCACACTTCGCGGATCCCCAGGGGAGCAAAACATGGGTACTTCTGGCATGCCAAACTGCCCTGGCTGAAAGGCCCTCCCTAGCTCCTCCCCCACCTCCCACCACTACCTGTCACTGGAAGCCTTATTATAGCATCTCCGGCCCACTTCTTGCACCCTGGACTGGGATTCTTACAGAAAACCAAGCGGAAACCCAGCTAGGGTTCCTATTTTTGTGTGGCCAGCACATGTTCTTCTGTTTCCAGGGCACCTCCGTTTGCAAATGATCGGCCATCCTCATAAGTACTTGTCAATGTGTCCTAATTTGGAATTGGAGGGGAGAAGGCATATTTTTCCGTTTTAATCATCTGGTGGTGCAGCACCTGTCTGCTGTCTGGAGCCCACCCAAGAGAAAACAAAAAACAAAAAAAACCCTAACTTGGTGGGGAGGGGGTCTCTTTGGTCCTAGGAGGAGGTCCTAGTTGCAAATTCCTATTCCTAGAGGGGGACTTGTCAGTTTAGGCAATGTGGGGACGAGGCCCTGGCCAAGGTGCCTCAAGGTGGAGAGCGCCAGCAAAGAGGACCTTGAATGGGCGGGCTCTCTCCTCCTCAGTGTGTACATAAGAGGTACACTGGATCCAAGGGGCCTGGCAGCTGGTATGTACCTAACTGGCATCCTCACCATTTCAGAAATGGTTTTCCTTCAAAAGCAGCTTCTTCCACCCAGTGAAGACAAACAAAACGAAAACCATTTTTTGCCAAACAACTTGGCTAAAGTCAAAATATGTCCTGCTTGTGCCCAAGGGGATGTATGTGTGTGGGTACTTCTGAGAGGTTCTGGAGAGTACAGACCCCGGCCCCTCTGCACTCCCCCCTCCTGGGTCACCAGCACCCTGCATTCTGCACAACTCAAACACCCATTTGCAAGGTCTCCTATGTAGGCTCGGATTTCCAGGTTATAATCCTAAACCGTCCTTAATTTGGTGTCCAGGACCACACAGCTACTGCCATTTAAGTGCACAGAGTGCACTGCTACAAGAATATTTCTTGGCTAAATCAGAGTTTGAATTCTGAATGCGGCCATGCCCGCTTGGCTCGGGACCCAGTCCCCCAAGCTGGACCAGTGGGGGATCATGGAGGCCCCCCTCTCTCCTGAGCTCCATCTTCAGACAAAAGCCTCCTGGATCTAGTGCCAAACCGTTACGGTGGCTCCTGCCCTCTGGCTTAGCACCGATGCCTACGGGGGATGGAGCCGGAGCGAGGAGGCTGCTCCCAGCCTCCTCTCCCTGCCCTTTCCGAGGCTCCTGGTGCCTCCCCAACCCGCAAGTGCCCGCCCCGCCCCTCCGCAGGCGGAAAGACCGGAAAAGCCATACCTCCCCCGTTCTGGAAGGCCAGGTAGGGAAACCTCCAGACATTGCCCAGCCCCACTGCGTACCCCACCATGGACAGGATGAAGTCCAGTTTGCTGGACCAGTTCCCTCGGGCCTTATTCTCATCCCCTTGCTCGTCCTCCTGGGGGCGGAAAAGCACATTGTCGGATAACAGCCCCGGGGCCACCGGCAAGCAGGCCCCATTCCGCCCATCCCCCCTGCTGAGGGTCTTTCCCAGCAAGCAGGCCCCCATTTTCCAACTGAGGATGCATTGGCAAGCAGGACCCCAATTTTGAAGAGAGAGGATGCATCTACAAGCAGAGCCTTTACCCCTCACCCCTGCACTGAAAGTCTTTCAGCAAGCAGGCCCCCAATTCTGATATGAAGATTCATCTTCAACACACCCTTAGACCCCTCCTTCCCAAATCCTGCAGTCAGGGCACACCAGCAAGCAGCTTTCCCCAAACCTTGAACCTGTTGGTTGATTGCAAGCAAGTCCCTCCATCCCCAACCCCTGACCAAGAGTTCAGTTGGCAAGCAGTTCCCCAATATCATGCCTAGAATCCCCAGCAAGCAGATCCCTAACCAACCCCTCTCTCCCCAAAACCCTCAACACACTCCTTCCTCAGCCCTTTCTCCCTCTGGAGTCTGCTAGGTCAGAAATAGAGCTGCAATGCCTGAAGCCAGCCAGAGCCCCTGCCTCATGTTCTCTGCCAAAGCCTATAGGCAGAACCTACCTGATTTGCTAGTGTAAGGTGGGGGGGGGGGGCACCTTTCAACACCAGGGCAAGGGAAATGGGCTGGAGAGAGGTGTGGGTGTGAAACAAGAGGCAGAACAGAGAAGGTAGATATGGCAAGAGACGAGACATCTAAAGCATTGAGTTCTGGTCTAAACTTTACCACTAACCATCTGGATAATCCCAGGCAAGCCACATGCTCTCTGAGCCTCTGTGCTCCCATCTATAAAATGAGGGGCTGAGAAGAACTATCCCTTGAGGCGCTTTCCAGTTCCAACCATCTATGGACCTTTGAGGCTTGCCTCTCCAAGTTCACACTAAGATGCTCTCTTAGGGGCGGTATCTCCTTCTGGAATGCCTCACTACTAAGCAGAAAAGGAAGAAGATGAAACCACCTCAACAAATTCTAAATGTTCAGGACGCCTGGACACCACACCAAGGTTCCAAGGACCCAAGCCACTGCCCGGCCTCTACTTCCTCCGCCACACTCCATTTGCTCTTCTAGCACTCTGGTATGTCTCACACTGTTCCACAGGCTGTGGAGAGTAAAGGAGCTGTCAGGAGAAGAGGAAGTCTCTGGAAGGGAGGAGGGCTGAGGTAGGTGTCAGGAAGGCAAGAACAGAAAAATGGGCAGAGCTGAGAATAGGCAAATGCAGGGCTTAATCTACTCTGAACATCTTCAGCATCCCCTCCACAGTCCTTTGCCAGGCACACCACCTCCAGCCCCACCCACCCTCCAATTCTTCTCAGGCTAAAAGGGTGGGAGTTTCAGCCGTTTTTGCGCTTTTGCCGCAGTGCGGAGGTTAAGCAAGGTATTTGAAACAATCTTCTGCCTCCATCTGGGGTCACACTGTTGGGCACATGCTGTCAGAGGCAGTTAATATATACAGACAAACGCTCCAGAAGTGGACACCAAAAACAGGGGCAAGTGGGAAGGTCTAAGTGTATGTTCATTTCTAGTTATTATTCCAACAGCTGGGTTCTTGAGGTGTGGGCCTGTGGATGTGTGTGTGTGTGTGTGTGTGTGTGTGTGTGTGTGTGTGTGTAAATACTAGAGTGTCACCAAATAGAAGGGCTGTATAAACTGGAAATCTCACATAGGCAGATGTTTAGATTCAGCTGCTCAACACATGCCTAGCCCCCCAGACAGGGGAAGGAGAGGAGACAGCAGAAAGGCAGGGGATGGAAAAGGAAGAGCTCAAGTAGGTGAGACAGGACAGAGAAAGGAAGAGATCAGAGGAAGCAGAGAGACTGGAGGGAAATGGAAGACAAGAGCCTGTATGGGAGAGGGTAATAATAAGCAGTAGTAGTTGCCTTATCCTGAACCCAGGATTGGGATTTGCTCTGTGCGTTTTTCATGCCTCTCATTGAGTGTAAAGGATCAAATGTAGAGGCAGGTCCAGGCATGGAGCTAAAGAGATAGATTCTCTTTAAGAAAACAACAACAACAACAACAACAACAACAACAACAACATATACAAAGTTATGATGAAAAACTAGGTACTGGGTTTTGGAAGAGCCCTGAAGCTTAAGCTTCAGTAGTAGCTTCATGTACACCCACCTCTCCTCAATGAGTTCTCATGTGATAATTTCACTCTAAGCGAAAGGTACTACTGCACTTAAACTGTTATTCCCTACAGGGGGAGGGGAAGAGGGTTCCTCTGTATTTCTTAATTTTTCTAATTAAGGAAAAATATTTTAAAGAAAAGACTCACTCATGGACAAAAGGGGGAGTCTTGTTTTCATAATCTATCTGTCTCAACCGCTTCATGAGCCTGCATGAATTTGCGCGACTACGGAGGTTGGGAAGAGACAGGTAGTGGCGGCTCCTGAGATCGTGATTCCTCTGGCAGGGTCACAACAGCCCTTGAGCCCTGAACTGGGGACCCCAGCGCAGCGCGAGCTTCCAAAGCCCCAAAGCTGCCTCCCGCGTCCATTACCTGGCACTGCCAACCGGTCTCCCCATCAGCACACGTGCACCCACCACGGCCCGGCTCGCCTCGCATACCTAGGGGGCGGGAGGCGGTGCGGGCCGAGCACGACCTGCTTACCTGGGCTGCAGCGGTGGCCACGCTGCCCGGGAGCACGGACGTGATTCCATCCGTGCCCAGCACCACGGTGCTCTGGCTCATATTCACCCAGCCCACGGCCGGGGTATTGTTCCGCTCCAGGGTGCCCTTGCCCACACTCACGTTAGCATCCCCCTCGGGGCCGCGCAGGGCCGGAATCTTACAATGCAGAGCGTTGCCGGGCCCGGCGGCCCCAGAAGGAGCTGCGGCCTGCGCGCCGCGCGCCTCGCTCAAGTCCCTCGGAGCTGCCGAGGCCGCAGGCGCCCGCGGGCTACTGAGTTTGTAAGCCCCCACTCCCTGCCGCTCCGCCTCACAGGCTCGCGCGTCAGGGGACTGGAAAGTTTGGGCGCCGGTGGAAGCGGACCTGGGCACACGCGGCGTCGGCGCCACGGCGGCGGCGGCGGCGGGAAGCTCCTGCTCCGGGCTCGTCCTGGGCGCGCACGGGCCAGCATGGTGGCCCAGCGCCATCGCCGCCCCCAGGCTGTTGGCTGGTTGTTTATTCATTTCCTTGGGAGCACCGCAATCCTGCAAATACAACGTGAAGTTCGTGCACACACAAACATACACACACGCACAGAAAGTCACGGTAGCTCTAAAAATACCTGTATTAACATGTAAAGACGTTCACCACTCAGGTCCAGACACCACTCGGGTCCGTTCACCACTCAGGTCCCAATATCTCGGGAATAAACTGGCATCTGGATTTTTTTTTTCCTTCTCCAAGAAAAACTGTATTTCTCAATTTGCCTGTCTTGTCAATAACCAGATGGCATAAAGCAGTTAATATTCTCCTCCCTGATGGTGGGAGAACTAAGAAAATAGGCAGAAATGTGTTTTTGTAGGGGGTAGCAAAGGAGGGTAGAAATAACCCTACAGCCATGAGCTCCCCGCCCTCTTTGGATTTCACATCACGGCTGTAGGGTGCCCACCTCCCCATCACCATAGTAGAAAGATTCTTTAATTTTCCGCCCCATTTCCTTTGTCATTCAATAATGCACATTGCCTTTTTTTTTTTTAAATAAGCTATAGGCAAGCTGCGGCCACAAAGCTGATGCCCTGGCACCTATGAGTGTTTCAGGCCAAATGGGTTGAACGAATCCCAGCATTTCCAACCCCATCTTCGCCCTCCAGGTAGCAAAGGCAGAAATAATGATCCCGAGCAAAACAAGAACAACCACCACCACAAAATAACCATAACAAACCAGATGTACAACACAAGACAGTAACCAGGTTTGTTATCTTACACAACCTACATTCACTCCCAGATTTCCAGACATGTAAAAGAACATGCAAAGTTTTTTGGTTCTCTTTCCACCTCCAGTAACTAGTTACAAGAGTGTCCAATGCCCTTCATGCTTGGGGACCAAAACTCAGGACTAATTTTCATTTGCTTTTTCTCAACTGAGTTTCACATTAAAAGATCTGCAAATGATGGTTCTTCCATCTGCTTTCTCCACTCGTGTAATCTCTCAGGGCTTCCTGAATATTAGCACCAATATTTACTATTACACTGTAAGAATGACCATATTACCTTCACCTCAACCTCGTGCATCTCGTCTAACCGTCTTTCATAAATGCACAGGTCGGAACTCATTAATTTGCACCAAATCTAAACACCTTGTCTCCAGCAAGCATTGTTATCTCAAAAGCCTCTAGGACTCAGCGACTAGCCTCAGTACCGGCACCTGGCTTTTCAGCACCGAGGACAGTGCCTGGGATCACAGTTAGAAGATAGGGATCTCCGTTCTACAGAGCTTCAGAAACCTCTTTCCGACCTCAGGTGATGCTCACAAGAACAAATACCTACGGCTATTTGTGAAGATTGCCCTCCCTTCCTCTTCCAAAATGCATAGAACACTTCAAAAAGAAGTACTCTAAACGAATCTGCCCTTCCTCCACCCGCAGCTCCCTTTCCTCTAAAAAGAACAAAAGCAAACACTCACCATGTCTGACACGGGCAACAGATTGAACGGGCAGAGAGTGAAACCAGCTATTGAGAAGACTGGGTTTGACTCCAACAAGAGAGGCGCTTTCTATATCTCCTTGGGAAAGGCCAGGTTTGCGTCAGTGCAAAGCAAGGTGCCCTTCGTTTGACATTTTCTTGATAATACAAGTTTGATAAATCATTACCCCCTTGGATTCGAGTTTTAAAGGGACAACAGCAGAGAGTACGCTGGCCAGTTGTCCCTCGGGCAGGAGGGGGCTGCGTGTTCGGCGTGACTCATATGGGTCTGATTACTAAACCGAAGCCGGCGGGAGGGGATGACAGAAGTTTGCCTCCTCCTAATTAAGGGAAACATGGGAGGGACACGTCCCACTGCACCCAAGGCGAGGCGCAGCCGCCAACAGAGCGGATTGGGCTACGAGGTGGGCGAGGGGGAAGGAATTAAATTACTGTCATATTTCTGTCTTTCTCTTCCTCTGGTTCCCTTGGCTGTCTCTTTGAATCTGCAGGCAGTGGGTTCCGCAATATTACCCTGAGATGGAGGGTCTGCATGTAACGGCACAGCTCTGCAATGGCCAGTGCTCACGGGTCCTGCATTTGTAACATTTATAATGGTGTACCTGCCTGAGTGTATGTGGGCTTCAGATCCTCACAGCTCTACTCGCAGACAACCACTGTTAGAGGGCTGTTAGACAGCCCTTCCAGAAAACTAGGAGTTTCGCTTATACATTGAGGTCTAGTATTTGCATTCCTATTGTATCTCTATTAACACAAAAGAAATTCTGAGTAAAATTATGACTGTTCTCATTGTATTTTTTAGACACCTCTGAAAATACTTTCGACAAAGAGGATATTATTTCCAACAGTGATCTCGTTCTTAGGTCACTTTCACAGTCAAACGGAAACCCATTCTTTTTTCATAGCCCTCTCAATAAAAACCCACCACAGCCAGGCCAGATGTGGAAGCGCAAGGTCTGAGAGATCCTCCAGATAGCGATCTTCAAGAGCCAGGCGGCAGGATGGCCAACCGGGAAGCCACAGGAGGACGTTCTACTGTACTGCGGCGCAAGTGAGGGGTGGCCCTAAAGATAAAAAGATGGATTTTCTTGGTATAAAGCAATGGCTACAATCAGAAGAAAGGGAAAACACCTTTGCAAAGAAGGGTTGGTTTGGAGACTCCAAGGGGATTGGTAACAAAACACCTCCCCTGTCTCCTTTCTGGCCAGCTTCATTCCGGGAACGCCTCGCCCCGGAGGTGGGGAGCCAAGGAGGGCACTTTGTCCCTTCCCTGACGCTCGCAGCCCGGCCCACAGCCTCGGGGTCGGCTCCGTTGCACTTGGCTGGGCCGTCCCCACGCGGCAGGAGGACAAAGCCGCGGAGGCCGCAGGCGGAGGCTGCGGCGGCAGATTGCGGTGAGCGCCCGGGGCACTGCGGGGGGGCCCCCTCCCGCCTCCTTCCGAACTGCTCGAGAGAGCTCGGGTGCCGCCGCTCACCGGCTCGCCAGTCTGCCCCTTCCGAGGGCAGCCACCTGGGGACCCGCGATCTGCACTAGGATGGAACGATGCGTAGGTTTTCTTGATAAAGCCTTCCTGGCGAGCCGCCTTGCGGGGTTCAGGCCGCTTTTTATTGTAGTTTCGAGTTAACATTTATTAAGCTCTCAATATTGAACCATTGTGCAAGAGCTTTCCATGAATTATCCCATTTAGCTTTGGTAACAACCGTTGAGAAATTCCTAGTTCTAAAGCCCGGGAAACTGGGGTTTAGAAAGTCGCTTTCAAACCCGGGAAATTTTCCCCACCCTGCCCATAGGGACGTCGCGGGGGCCCAGTTGCACTGTCTCCGGAGGCCCGCTCCGAGGGAAGTCAGGCGGGTCGGGGAGAAGGAGTAAGGGAGACTGGTGTGGGATCGGGCTGGGCTCTAGCTGGAAGAGGGTCAGCACAACAGGCGGGGCCGAGAAGCCCGCAGGGGCGCGTGTCTTGGTGCGCGCTGGGAAGCATCCTAGACTCTGGGAACCACCGGGAAAGCCGAGGGAGCCTGCTGGGCCCTTCTTCCGAAACAGACCCGTTTCCAACGAGCCAAACGAGGATAGGAGAAGAAGGGTAAGGGCAGGCCTGACAGCCCCCACTTCCGCGCCAAGAGATGCGCCCCTGGGTCGGATTAGGCCCCCCTCTGCAGGCCTTGGGCAGACTTCCACCGTGGACAGTCACGACTTGGAAAGGCTCTGGCCTTTCTTCGTGCGTCTGAGCCGCCCCCGCCAAGTGCAGAAGCTGGTGAAGCGTCCACCTGCACCCCCAACATTCCGGGCCTCACTGACGTTCCAGGCTGGAGGGGGGGTGGGGGAGCCAGGTGAACTGCAGCCCTGGGCATAAGTGACGCTCCCGCTCCCGATCGGTCCCCAGGCCTGACGTGTCGCCTGCGGGCCCTCCCTGGCCTAGTGCGCACTTGAGTTCCAGCGTGGCGCCCGTCACGCGTCAGGCAGTTCAGAGGAGGTTGACGCGCAGGGAAAGCTGCGGGGTGGGGGCGTAATGGTGGTGGAGACGCTGCTTGAGCTCCCCACCTCACCCCACTTCTAGACGCAAGATTCTAGAAAGGAGAGGGTACGTTCCGAGTGGAGGCGGGGGGGGGGGGGGGGTGTCTCGGGCGGGGAGGCCAAGAGGCGTAGCTCCTAAGCCGGCGGGGGGTCGGGCACCGTCGGGCAGCAGAGTGGGGGTGGCAGGGCGGGAGAGAGCCAGCCTTCAGAGCCTGGTGGCCCAGGGCAGCTCGTCGTGCGTACAGCTGTGTGTCAACGCTTGGAAGCGCCGGGATGGAGCCGCAGCATTAAAAAAGAATTAGAATAAAAAGCGCAAGTCTTCCGGACTTGGGTCTCCGCCCCCGCCCTCCGCGGCCGCCTGTTTGGAGTGATAATCCGGCCCGCGCGCGGCCGCCGAAGAGGCCGTAAATCCGCATCCATCACCGCGCAGCCATTCGGTCGGAATTAACCAGTCACTGTGGCCTTAATTACTTTGTCAAAGATGAAAAATAGTAATTGATTTCGCCCTCGATCACTTTGCCCCCGCTCCTTGCAGATAAGCAAATACATAGCTGTTTTTGAAAACCCATGTCTCTCCGGCATTTGCTGGATGAGGGTGGGGAGTCTACTGAAGAAGAGGCCATCCCGTGGCAGTCCTGACCCAGTGTTTGAGCCACGACATTTGGGGGGCAAACTGGAACCCAAGAGGGAGAGGGCCTGGAGGTGGCCCTGCGCATTCCAGGTGCTGCCCTCCACAGCACTAGGGAGCGGGGCTGGAGGGAGAGGAGCCGGCCCTTTACACGCGTCTGCTCTGGGGTTAGCCTGGCTGGCGGTACCCTACAGCCTCCTCGCCTCCCCAGGGCAGCAGGTGAGAAAGAGCTGAGGGACTAATTTGAGAGAGGAAGAAACTTGCCCAAGGCCAGCGGGCAGAGCCAGGACTTGAGCCCAAATCTGTGTTGCCTCTGGTCCACCCCACCACTCCGGATATAATTATAGCGAGCGCCTGTGTCAGTGTTCAGCTAATTTTGAGCCGTTAACACATCAAACTTCTATAGACGGTGGATGTGAGGGCTCTCAGTGTGGGTTTCAGGTGACATTAACAAGACAGTTAAGAAGCCCCGTGCAGTAATTTTGTCCCACTTGCCCACTACTGCTGAGTTCCCCTGCAGTGTTGTTTTGTGCTAAGAATATGGATTCTGCAGACAGACTACACCACCTCCTAGCCTCTGTGACCTTGCAGGGGGAAGGGGGGGATCCTCGATCTGTAGAATGAGGATAATAAGAATATTAACCTACCTCACGGGTTGGGGATTGAGAGTAGGCATGTGAAGTGCCTAGAGTGAGGTCAGCTGCCTGGTTTGCTATCAATAAGCAATTATTATTATTCAGTCTGGAAAAATGATCTGTGTGAAGTCCCTCAGATTTAGCAAGTAAAATCGTTGTTTCTCCCTGGTCCGGATGGTTTAAAATGGATAGACATGCACAGAGCAGAAAGCCTTACAGAGTGGATCATCATTTTGCAACATTTCCCCTTCTCATTCAGTAGTTTGGTCACACAATAATCCAGTATTTATCTTCATTAAAGGAAAATTGGGAGCATTCTGAAAAAGTGCTCAAACACAGAGGCTGCTATGGATGTGTCCTGAGACACCTTTTGTTTAGATCAAGGTAAATCTCAACAAAAATGACAGAAGCTTAGAGCTGTGTAATCAGCTTTGCTGTCCAGCTCTCATTTGGACCTTGGGTGTCAGGGAGAACCCAACTAATCAAAGGCAGCTTCCCTCACCAAGGCATTTCAGCAGAGTCTGAACTTGGAAATCAAGGGCTCAGTGAAGTGACTAGTCTGTGTGCAAAATGTAGGTCTCAAATCCTGAGACTCAGACAGGCAGGGCGTTTGTTCCTGAGTCAGCAGTAGTGATGATTCTCACTACACTGCAGCAAAACACAGGGCAGTGGGCGCAGGCGCAGAAGCAGACAAGTTTAGAACAAGCTGCAAAGGACATTCAAGGTCATCTATAGTCCCACACGTCTCCTTTTGCAGTGAGAAAACAGAGGTCAAGGGAGGAAAAGTGAGTGCTCAAGGTTACTTGCAAATTCG